ATACCCAAAAGCCATCTGGATATGGTCCTGGGCAACTGGCCCTGGGTGGCCGTTCTTGAGCAGGGGGCTTGGACACAAGGACCTCCAGAGGTCCCTTCCAACCCCAACCACTCTGTGATTCGAAGGTCATAACCTGCCCCTTAAGATCTCTGCCATAGCACTTCATGCCTTGTTACCTTGCAACGGAGCCAACATGCTCCTTGCAAACATCAGTTCAAGGTAACTCAGAAGCTGCAGCAAATGCAGCGACCGCATTGCTTGTTTAGCAGCGATTCTTGACGAGAGCTGGTTGCACACCATCTTGAGGGTCTGCACAAGACCATGCTCAAGGTATAGATCAATGTACTAACTTAAAGTAGTGTTATTTAAATAACTTGGAGCCTGGAGACTTCAGAAATAACTCTTCTCTTCATGTTGCAGTACAATGACCGCGTGAAACTGGATGCTGCCCGTCGCCAAGCCACAGTGTGTGCTCAGGAGGTGGCAGTTCTTAGAGAAGGTTCTTAACCTTGTTTTCCAGGGCACAAATGTAACACATCCTCAAGTCATATGGCAGAGCATTTTTTTTTTTTTTTCCCCTAATAGGCCTATTTTGGGAAAATGGGCTAGAGAGTCCTAGATTAGCTTTAGTATTTTGGACACTAGTCCTACTTTTGTACATGCACCCAGATGAATTTATCTTTAAGTTTTGATACAAATGCAGTACCTGGAGTTTTAAAAGCATGGGTAAACAACAGCCTGTCTGAACATCTCCCAGGAATAAAGGACTCCAAGCTGGCAAAGGCAGGCTTAACAGGAGATACTGTCTGGAATCTGAAGCCAGGCACATTCAAAGTAGGAATTGAGTACAAATTTGTAATGGAGAGGGTGATTAACCCCTGGAATGAACTAGAATGGATGGATCCTTGGTCTCTTGCTGGTTTTGAGGCAAGATGTCTTCTGGACCTAAGTTAAGCTAAGTAACAGGTTTGGTTTGGTTTACGCTAGCCTCAGTGTAGCGAAGGTGAGGCGGATGAAATGTAACAGCCCATGTTTATAGACACGTTCATACACATTCCTACAGACCTTAAGCTGTACATTAAGTAAAGAGTTAAATTTTGAAATTTTCTGTTACTTCTAGGAGAGGATTGGTTTGTAATTATGTGTGGGGTTGGGAATCTGCCTTTAGTGCGAATTCGGCAGTGGTAGAACTTCATTCTTGGGGCTGAATGTGTGCGTTTTCTTCACCATCCAATGCACCAGGTTTACCAGCAAGCTGAAGCTTGGTTCTTCTGCATTTCAGTAGTTTGTTTGGTAGTAGTCCGCTGTAGTAGTATGTCCTCAGGCAGATACCATGTTCAGCCGCTGATACTATCCCGTGTGGCTTTAAGCCAAGAATGTAGCCCCTCTGTTCATGTTTTACTGTTGACAAAATGGTGATGTTTCTCTTCCCAAGGACAAAAGCTTTTAATCTGTTATTTGTAAAGCCCTTTTTAAGAACTGACCAAGGAAGGTATTAGTGAAATACAAAGCGGTGGCATTATTTTTTACCCTGTGACTCACTCAAAAATTAAAAGGGAAAATGAATTTCTCTTCCAGATAAGTGATATCAGCCTCATCTTTACCAAGTGACTTCCTCCTTGCCTCTGCAGGGCGTTATGGATCAGGGTGAACTATACTTGTAAACATTTAATTGCATACATTGAGAAATGAAGAAAACTGAAGTGGATCCCGAGAATGTATTAAAAATCTGAACTAAAATGAGAATGATTTCATGTCAAGTGAGACAAATGCGGAGTTGATACTCCAGTGCTTCACACTTCCACTTGTCCTTGGTACCGAGAAAATGAGATTTTTAATATCTGAAAAACAGATTGCCATGAAGACTCATCCATTGTAAATTTAAGCTGCCTTTATAGCAACTTAAGCTGGGGACAAGATTGTTCATTACATCTGATTCTACAACTGTGGCCATGATTTCCATATTAATATTGAATTTTTTTTTTTTATTGTCTGTACCAGAAATAGGAAGGAGAGCTGGTAGTGTTTTCCCTGTGTTAGCAGATAATTTATTTAATGAATAATGCGAAAAGGGCAAAGGTTTGTGAGTTCTTACTTGGATATCGACTGTAGATTGTGGTGACACCAGCTTTTGCTGCTGCGATCAAACCTGGTGTGCTGCTTCGGTTTATGCTAAAAGGAGACTGAGGGAAAGAGGGATATTGATTCATGATTTCAGAATCATGATTTGTTGGTGGCGGAAGTTACGTTGTTCGGGGCTGAACTTTTTTTGGCTAAAATTATAGGCGAGGGGTTGCTTGTTTCCTGCCTGATGTGCCCTTAAATGACAAAAACGTTTAAGCAAGCTTTACATGCGTGTGGGGGCAGGGAAGGTATTTCTGTGCCACTGAACTTTAGACCAACGTTGAGTCAAAGACCATTTGTTACCCTTTTCAATAGCAGCCGTTCTGTTCTGGCATCAGACGTAGGAAGCACTAGCTTCCTCTCCTTTCTGTGGAACTGCATTTGCTTTCACAAGTCCAGCTACCGGGGCAGACCTGAGGATTCCCCGACTGGCCTTACAGCTTGGCTCTGTCTGTGGCAGTTTGTGATTGCATTCAGACTGTAATAGTGCTCCCTCAACCTTTAACATAGCAAAAATTGAGAATTCCTCATATTTTCTCATGAACTTTCTCCTGTTTATTTCTGCTGAAATGCTATCATCCTCTGCGCTCACAGATCTGGAGTCTCTTGGAAAAGTTCCTTCTCCCTCCTCTGTTCACATCCCAAATTTGGGCTAGATCCTAATGGCTCCTCATTTATAACATCTGAGGTCTGTACCATTTTCTCTTCCATTAGTATCACTAGTATCATCATCCTGCCTTTGTCATCTCACACCTGAGTTACTGCAGCCTTTTCTTTGGCTCGCTCTCTCTTCTCCTCATGTTCCAGTTTTAATACTGCATTTCACGATGATGGAAGGTGATCTTTCCTTTCCTTTGAGGGTTTTCTTCTTCGCTTCTTCCACACTCCTCACTCTGGAAGCAAATCTTTCTCTGAGGAATCCAGTTCTCTATCGTTAGCCTCTCTGACCTTCAGGAATTTTGTATATATTTAAGTGTAATTTGTTCCTCTTTGGAAAACAAAACAGCTCTCTATTAAACTCAAAATTTGGCAATAAGTCAACAGCATGAGCTCATATTTTTTGTGACTGCTTCAGGGGAAATGTTCTAAACGCAGTTAAGAGGTTTAACAGAGAAGTGTTTTGGTATAGAACGATCTTTAAAAGGTTTGGGGTGGCTGACTGCAAGGGACCTGCGTGTTTGTCTTTTCCATCCATCAGTACTTCGGTGTCACGATTTCTCTCCCAGGCCACGGTACGTGACCTGTGGTCTGCTGGGACCACTCATCTTGTCTGTGACCTTGCTCTTTGCGACCTCCTTTCCTGGAGAGGAAGAAGGCAACTCGAGACCTAGATGTGGGCCAGATGAATTGTTTTGGAAATGGCAGCAGCCAGCTCTCAGCAGCTCCCTCCCCAAAAACACCCAGTGGTTTCCTTTGCCACGTCTGGGTGGGAGCAATCATGTGGGGGCAGACATAAAACCCCTGGGAAGGTTGGTGACCAGAAGCTGACTGCTGCTACTTCTGGAAAAGCTCATTCAGCCCAGGCTTTTGCCCTGAGAGTTCCTAAGTTTTTTCATGAAGGAAAGAAAAAGAAAAAAGCCACATATACGATGGTATAGTCTGTGTATGCCCAGTGGACTCCATCTGGAATAGGTGCAGTTGTTCCCCAGAGCCCATAGCAGGTGCAATAGAGGAAGAGCCATGCTGTAGCGTCTGGACCACACGTAACCACTGAGAAGAGCCACAAAGTGCCCATCCACAAGGCTTGGTTGCTGATACTACAGACATTTCTTTATGGAATGGAGTAAATTATCCTGTGCAAATCCCTGTGCTGCTCTATTCACTTGTTTTCTATTCCAGCTCTTGTACGCCCATCTCTCTAGTTCTTTCTGCATCTGCCTGGATATCATATCCTGCCTTTCTCTTTGCCGTTGGTTAATAGTTTGACTTCTGAAGCACTTTCAGTCCATGTTAGTTTGTGGAGAAAGACATCAGCAGTGATAGCTAAAGAAAATTCTATTAGGTCATTCCTTTTCAGAACATAGTACCTGTCTTCTAAGCTCTTTGCGGATGTTAGCCAAATAATCCTTTTAATAGCTTTTGTGAGTTAAAAGGGTAGGTAACTGTCATAAGGCTAAATGATTGCATAGATGAATTTACTTGTGGCCAAAAGAAATCAATTGTAATTTAAATTTTTGTCTTTGGACTGGTTATGCTACCAGACGTCAACTTTCTCCTTAGGAATCTACCATGTGCATTGAAGTATATGTCTGTGATGGTATATGGGTCTAGATTAGTTACAGATTATCCAGAGTAACGTGATTGAACATTTCCAGTTTTTAACCTGTGGGTGTACGCAAGCTCAGAATACTCAGCTGGTTGGCCTGGTTCAGATCTGTGAAGTATCCATTAATAACTTGAGTCGTCATATTTCATAGGGTGTTTGGATGTAAAAGAATATTTGCCAGAATTTTAAGACCATGGGTCCGTTGCAAACCATGTCAAAGCTCCCACTGAAGGCAAAGTGAAGAAGGAGGGTGAGGCTTTAATGGACCATTTAAAAAAAAGAATAAATTGGAAGATGATATAAGAAAATTCAGTGGTTCCAGGGAGCATTTTTCTTAACCATGGCTATATTTAGTGATTGGTACACATTCTACTGCCTTTTAGCAGAGGGATGGATTGGGTGATTGAGAAGGATCCTGAAGGCGCCTGTCTTTGGGTTTGTTTTTTTTTTTTTAACGAGAAGTGATTTGGCGCTACTGCCTGGTGAAACTGCTGTAAGGTTGCCCTCTGTAAGCCAGTTGTATAATATTAAGCCAGATAACAAGAAGTCAGAAAGTATTTGGCTTTCAGAGAGATCTCTGACATTCTTGTATCATTTCATTGTGTCTTACAGAATGGTGAATAACACTGAAGACCCCCAAGAGGCTTTATAACGTCCCATCCCCATGTAAAGTATGCTCAGAACTTTTCCAGTAGTGTAAGTATAAGCTAAAAACCCCACAAAAACCCACTGTTGAGAGCTCAGGAGTTGTTTGGGGGGGGTTCTGTTAATTTGTCTAAAAAGAGCAGAGAAATGGTTACTGTGATTATCAGCAGTTTGCTAAATTGGGGAGTTCCACTGGTTTGGTTACTTGCTAGATGTCTAAACCAGGGAGCAGTAACATTTAATTCCTCGCTTGGTCTGGCTGTTAATATTATTTCTACTACTACTTTTCTGTCGCTGAGAGAAGGAAAATCATGCAGTTCTTAGAAACTCAGCCTTGATCAGAGGAAGGGTATTGTTAAAAGAGAGATCTCCATGCATCTACTGAACATACTAGAGGGATACCAGAGCTGTGCAAGAGAGTTTAGCACCACTACAGACTTGGTGAAAGGGGATCAGTACACCATTAACGTAGTATTACGTAGCAAAGGCAGAAAACCTAGGGCACCTAACCTAACATTCGAATTGGATGTGTTGGTCCAAGCAACCACTATCTTGAATCCCAGTACGAATTGAGGTTGTCTAAATCTCATCCTTCAATTTGAGCCTGTTAGTTGCTGCTTTTAAATGACTTCTGTCATGAATCTTCAATGTAATTGGGATCTATGCTGTTTCTTCAATAAATAAGCACATGAATTCAAAGTTTGAAGCTTGTCAGGCTGAAAGGAAAGGCTTGACCTGTACTGTGCTGTCATCCATCTCTCTCACTGGCCAGTCCTATGTCACTGTTCCCCATACCTCTTTTACCCGCACAACCAAATGCTTGTCCACTGGCAATCAGATTCTTGAGATACTTTGACCTCTTGACTTCTGATTGTACCTTCTGTCAGGCTGAGTTGGAAGGAGAAACCCTGTATACAGAATAGCTAGCAAGAAACTGGGCTGCTGTGAATGCAGTCAAATTTTTCCAGGTGGGTTATTTCAAGGATGAAGATTATTCATCTAGCACGTGGACATTCATAGTGCAAGTGGCAGTGCAGCCACAGACTTCTGTAGAGGGAACCACAGCAAAAAGTAACGACTGCCAGGGGTTTTGTGTTGGAAACTAAACTACCAATGTATTTCAAAAAGCCTTCTTGATATAACCATTAATTAGTTATTTTTTATTGCTGGTGGCTTAGTCTTCTCTTCAAAACTAGTGGTTTCCTACTTTGTTGCCAGCCCCCTGAGCCACCTCCTCTTCTTTCTTTTTAGCTGGAAGTATGTTGGATTTCAGTATTAAAATCACCACTTGAAATTGTAAAGATCTAGTTCACAGCAGGAAAGGAGGTAAGGCCACACTGCCCTGTTCATCTTTATTATACTGGTAATTCAGAGTTTGCAGAGTGATCTTAGAGCTCCTCTGTGCTTTGCGTGAGCACAAGGACGGTCTGTCAGCTTTAACTTTGAATCAGACTTTTAACATAAATTTCCAAACTGTAAATTATATAGTTTTAATTTCCTGTGCTTTCACTAGATTTCAGTCATGTTCTGCCCCCGTGCAGTTTTAGTTGGATATCGCGTTGTTCTGTTGCTTTCTGGAATTGGTGGCACATTGATGTGCCCTGTTAATCAGCTGCCACCCTCCATCAGAGATGTAGCAGCTTTTTCAATTTATTCCAGTATATGTGCAGTTAATACGGTCATCGAGAATGCAGTATAAGTGTAGGTGAATAATTTTTGACTGAAAGCTGGGGTGAACCTATTTGGAGGGGATTAGAGAGTATCAAATTAGAGGAAATCGGCCAAGATGACCCATTTAGGCATAAAGTTTCTGGATTAAACCATAGGTATTTTTTAAAATGGATAAGCGGGCGTCGTGATTTCAGAAAGGGAACAAAGAAAACAAAATCTTTGCGGGGGGGTGGTGGTGGGGGAGTTTTAACTTAAATACTGAATAAGATTAAAATGGAACAGTCTTAAAACTACCATGGTTAGAGAGTAGTTTGGTTACTCCTACCATGGGGCAGCATCTTCTGTCAGAAGAGCAAAGTAGGCAGCTGGTTACCATTTTACCTACCTAATTTTTATCCACCGTTGGATGAGAGTCAGTACTTGAGAGGAATTTGAGGCAAGGTGTGAACACAAGACTCTTGATTTTGGTCTCACAAGAATTAGTCATTTATCTGAAACTAAGTCCTTCTGTAGCCAATGCAAGTACATCTCTATTGGGCTCTCCGTAAATATAATGGGAGGAGTTACTTGTACTTTACAGGCTCACAGCAGCATTGGTTAATTAATAGGTGTTACTAGTGAGATATGACCATCAGTATGTGTGTTGCATGTTTCAAAATATAACTTCTGATAGAACTAGACAGTTTCAACATTGTCACTTAAAGTTTACCTGAATTATCAGGCCGGTGCTTATGAAGCTAACTGCCAGCAATGACAGAGCTGTCTTGGGAGTGAGTAAAAGCCTGCTGAGTGGAAAGAAAATCAGTGTGAGTAATGCAGATGAAAAAGGACTAGATTGAAGCCTTGTCATCATTTAGGAAAAACAACAGAAAGAAAGGAACGAGTGTGTGACCGATACCAAAGTCAGCACCCACTGAAGAGCAGAAAGTGGAGTTACAGTGGCTTAGAAAGTCACCACACGGCTGAGCTGTGTTACCCGTCCAGCTTCCTTGAAATGCGACACAAAACATGTTCATTAAACTTGGGTGAAAGAGGACTCAGCTAATTTGCTCTTTGTGTCTTCAGTGACAAGTTATCTTGTAAATAGTTCATGGCTGTAGGAATGTTCAGTTGGCATTTTAAGCTTCCTTAACTGAAACGTTGTCTTGTCTGAGCCCTTAGTTTTACTTTAAGATAAACCAGATGAGTTAATCCATGATTTCACAGGCAACTAAGCCACTCTGAAAGGGACCTAAAAGAAATCCTGGTGCATGTGTGCCTCCTATGCCTACTTCTGCTTTTGGCCAAAAGGGCTTGTCCCCCATCTGTTTAGTTGGTAATAGCAACCATCAGAGCCTTCTCTAAGCTAATTCAGCTTGCTAACCCAGGCAGAAACTAGCTACAGGTGGGTTGGTTGGGTTGATTGATTTTTCTTGCTGGGTTAGTGAACTGAACTCGTTTGTGGATATTTCCACCAAGTCCTGGAGCTATGCAGAAGAGCAGGTCGTAGGTCGGTTCATGCTCTTCCATGCATCTGCAGCCTCAGGACTTGCATCTCTAGGTGTTCTCCTCCTGCTCTGAGCAGGACACAGAAAGATCTGGACTTGCCCTCAGAGTGTAGACTGGGTCTTCTCTATGTCATGCAAGAGGAAATTTCTCTAGTTCAGGTCTGGGCTACACTAAGAGATGTTTGTTGCTTTAAGAGCATTACTTAGGACATGTGCTTCTTTTTGAAATGCTTTTAAATAAAATAAAACTCTAATATGGAAGCAACTGTGGCCAGAAGCCCATGTTTTTGCCATTATGATTTATAGTCTTCAAGGAGCTGCTGTTATCTATTCCTGAGTTCTTCTCCAAGTATAATCTCTGTCTTCACTAAGACTGTGTGCCAGTAAAACTACACTTGCAAACTGTTTTCTAGTGGGAAAAAAATTTGCTTTATAGTTAAGCACAAAATTAGGGGTAGGTAAGTTTCAGTTATTTACTGGGTTTGGATTTTAGTTTTCTGAAGTAACAAGATTTCTCTTTTAAGAAAGTGTGTTGATTGTTACTGCTGGTGATAGGTCCTGAGGGAGAACGAAGGTGCCTGAAATACTTCAGAATGTCTCTTTTTCTTTACGTGTGGAAGAGAGGTGGTGGAAATCCTGGTGATGGCATTCCTTGAAACTTGTCCTACACCTTGTCATATCTGATGCTATAGATGGACCCTGTAGGATGGCTGTATGCGTGGTGAGAAAATGCTCCAAAGTTTGGCCAGGCACTTGGTCTGCCTTCTTGCAGAATGCCTGTGTGACTTTGAACAAGTCATTTTGACGTGCCTGAAGGCCAGCCCCTTTCTGTGAGCTCTTGGTCTCAAAAATCAGCAGAGTTTTAGTTCCTTGCCTCACAGGGATATTCTATAGAAAGATGTGTTTCAAGTATTTAGATACTCCAGCTAGCAGAATTAATAGAGCAGAATTCTGAGATTCTGTCTGGATTTTAATAAAGGATTGGTAAATTCTGAAGTGAACTGGAGGAGGCAGAAGACAGCAGTATACCTACCCCTGGAATCTTGACAGTTGAAAATTCGTGACTTGCCAGTCTGGTGTCTAGCTTAGGCCCACGTCTCAGTTTTATTGCCACAATGACTCTGTTTCTTCACATGGGTTAAAGATGGTATTTCGGTGTCTTGGTGAGATTTGCTTAGCTGTGTAACTCAAGCGCCCAAGTCCTGCCCTGATTCTGTTACAGAGCTTGGATATCCAAAGTTTAGTTTTTGGCTCCTGAATCCAAGAGCTCCTCCTTTGCTCTTGGCACTGGTTTGGGCTTTGGGCCCTGGTTCAGCACTCAGCTGCCACTACAGCTTTTCTCTCTTATTTGTTAGTCCTTCTGATTCCTCGTTCTGCCCTTGAATCCAGCCTCAGAGTTTGAATTCTTGCCTCGTTGCTGTAGAATTGCAACAATAGTAGGAAACCCAGATTTTAGAAGTAGCGAAGGTTAGGGTTAGACAGATAAGGTGTCAGTGTGATCAGTCTGTGCCTTGAGTTGAATTCAGAAGTATCTGGCTCCCAGCCCTGTGCTTAGTCAGAGGTCGGTCCCTTTTGTAAGACTTGGATTATGACAATAATTGGCATTTATATTATATTTTTGCCTTGTAAGATCGATCTCAAGTTCTCTCTCTCTCTCTCTTTCCCAAAGATGTAAAGCCGATACTATAAAGCGGAGTCAGTTATTTACCCAAGTGGAATCAGTGGCAAAACTGCTAGGGTTTGCTTACTGCCAGTGTGCCAGCATCCAGTAAAAAATACTTCATCGGTGGTGAAGAACTTCAAAGACTGAGTGGAAGAATAGCTTATGTAGAAGTAGTGAATCTGGGTTTGGGGCTCTTTAACTAGCTGAGAAACTTGAAGCCTCCTGAAGAA